CGTGAGCGCGCTTCAATGCAACGTTCGTTACAGGCAACTCCGGCATGTATAGTGTAAAATTTAAATTCAAAGTGTACAAATAATACCATTAAACCAATTCCTTAACCCCTATCCCGGTATGTTTGTGTATTTGAAGAAATTTCACTTCAGTAGCGTGCGTTGTATAATTACACGTTGTGTTTTTTATTTTTTATTTTTTTAATAAACTGTTCCACAAAATGACCATTAATTTGTGATAAAATAGCGATAATTTTATAAACTAATTACGTGTAACCTACAATTAACTTCAAAAAATATAGAAAATCAAAGCTATCATCCCCTATATGAAAAGTAGGGCTTCTGTGTGCCTTTTGCTATACAAAAATTCATTGTAATATTATTATTAATAATAATATTTGTTTGTTAAAAAATTCAAGAACAACAATCGGCAGATTAATTTTGGTACCTACTGTTTTACATTACTTATGACGATTTAGATAACATTTAGCTTATGATTATTTTAAATCATGTTTAATAAAAAAAATAGCCTTTCAACTGTGCTAATCAAATCATATAATCTAGCAATATGTAGGAGATTAGATACAGATATAGAATTCAATTCCTTTGTGTGTAATATACAGGATGCCCAAGTTGTCTGTAACTCCCCCCCCCCCCCCCCCCAAAAGAGCCACACGAAGTACCCCCAGTGTGTTAATAGATTTCTGACTTGATTTGACCAGGAATTTTTACTGTGAATTTTCTTTCTAATTAACAAATCGTGAATTGACTTATGCCGAAAAAAAAAACACATTATTGTTTCCGCACATTTTCTTTCTCTTCTTTTCCTTACCTTCGAATGAATCGTACGTCCGTTTTCCTTTTGGTAATGGTTGCAAATCGTAATCAAGTTCGACCACCCGCTTCGTTACAATGTCATTATCTATGGCTTCAATATAAATAGCAGCTTGGCCATTTTTGCTTTGAAAGCACCTGAAAACAAAACGAAAACACATTACAATCGCACATTTTACCGTGTAATGGTCTCATAATGACAGATAGTGTTCTTTATCTTTTTTGTACATGTTGCCCACTACTAACTCCGGATTTTAAATTTATAAGCAAGACAGGCGAAACAAATAATAAATAAATAAAAGAACTTTTATGTGCCTAGTTTGCTGTTGGATAAAACGCGAAGTCTGACACCTGAAATCTGTTTTAAGATAATTTACGTCTAATTTAGCATTTCTTATTTTAGTATGTTTAACCATATGCAGCCTATAAATAGTGTTTATAGAGTCATTTATGTTTAGAATACAACCAGCTTAAGAAAAATGTCCTTTGGTAGTATAAATTCAAACAAGAAACTATTTTTTTCACTACAACATTTAAAAGAAAACAGATTACTAAACTAACTCCTATTTATTTGCTTTTCGTTCATTATATTGATATCGCAAACAACGGAATTATTTAATTTACTAATTACTTCAAACAGGTGTCTCAAAAGCTCATTCGCCATTTGGTTTCTAATACAATTTAATTATATTACTTCACACTTGACAATTATTAGTTTTCAGCGAAAGCTTTAAATCAATTTTTAGGATTTTTAAAATTCTTACGCGACTGTTTTGATTTAAAATAAAAAGTAAAGGGGCATTTTAATACCAACGTTTAAAACAAACTGGTGTTTTATTCGTAAAAATTCATTAGCCCAAAAATGGGCCACCCTAATCTTCAGCCCTCTAATAAGGAACTGATGGCGGAATTTTTAGAAAAATATTTTAGATGCTCAATAAACACGTCGTTTCGTTAATATGTTTTCTCGGCAAACCTATCTCAAAACGCAGTCATTAAGACCATATTTCAAATGCTCCACCCCCGCTTTCTTTTTCCGAAAAAATAATAAATAAATGTATCATTTTACTGCTAATTATGTTACCTACCTAACGGCTTTCGGCTTTTCTTCTACATGCGAGTAAAGCTGATGGAGAGACCGGGGACCCTCTAGAAATAGTCGAACCGGCAGATTTTTGCCGCCGTCCGGGTGGAGCTTGATACAAGCCCTAAAGTCTCTGTCTGGGGTCGGCATTCGAAGCAACACTCTCAGCGCACCCCTAGGGTAAAGCCAAGTCACTTTCCCTGCTGTGCAACGCAGGTATACCGGCGTCACGCCCCTGTCTTCTGACGGTGTTGTTAGGCCACTGAAAAGAAAGAGAAATTCACTTTATTTAAACTGTAACCAAAATATATATATATACAAAGTTTTTTATCCCCAAAATTGGCCGTTTTGAACTCCAAATCTAAGATTCATATTCACAGGATTTTTTTATATTAAGAAAATGTTACTAAAATATTACTCCGTTTGTTCCTGTATGCTGTTGACTTTAATTATTTTCAGTTATTATCAATTTAAGTACAAGATTTAAGAAGCAATTAATTAAAAACTAGAGTGCAAACTGCATGTTTAACTAATATTTGCGAAACAATAATCTGATCTAAATCTACCGTTGTTAGTCCTAGCTCCTGTTTCTACTGCTATGTCTCTAACTATTCCTTCATGTTTGAGAGAATATTGAGTATCCCACCAACATCTCGCCTATTTCTTAGTTTCTTGCCTTAATTGCAATTTTAATTCGATATGTACAACGCAATCAGAAACCCTCTAGCCTAATTTTAACTTTTCTTTAAATCTTATAAATACGTCCAATCAACAACCCTGTTGTAAAGCACTCCTCTTTTCTAATTTTCCCAAAAGTAATAATTAATTCTGAATGTTATTTCCATGCTAATAACAACAGTACACTTACATATATAATAGTTTTAATTTACTGCTAGTGTAGAATTATTTTGTTGTTTTTAAGAAAATATTTTTGTAACCACAAAACCATCAGTATTCACCAGTCGCGTTAAAAACGAAAATATGCCAATTTTTTCCCAACATTGTGCAGAAAATGACAGGTGTTTGTTGGGACTTCGGATCTTTATAACAGTGGTTTTAGTATCATTACTAAGTACATTCTTTATCAGTAATTTATATCACCGGCTTGTGCAATTTCTTTCGTAAAAACAGACATTAATTTCTCCTATATTCTTACAATATTCTCGGGCGGTAAAGGTAAATAGTATCTTAAGTGAAATACACAGCAAACAAACCTCTCTGGCGATTTAACCGTTAAATTACGTAATAAATAATCGATAAATGTGCGTAAAACGATTTCTTTCAATATTTACGTTTAATGAAATAGCTGTAACTAATATTTTACAATACCACAACGGCGTTTTCCTTTATTTAAGCATAAACTTTAAAAGTCCACTTGATATCGACATAATTATTTCGTTTTATCATAGTCAATAGTAAGTATTTAAAGTAATGTTTTTATGCATAATATGTCATTGGGGTGACTAAATTTTTACTTAAATTTCAAAAGTTTACTAAGGTGAGTTATTAAATGTAATTATTTTGTATTTTCGAAAGATGTTTTATAATGAGAGGAGGGTCTCATTTTGTGCTAATTTTGCAGCCTGTAATTAAGGCCTGAAATTGGTATTAAAGCCCATAGTAACGACATCGTAATTTAACGTCCAAATTAATTGTCTGTCCGATTAAAATTTAAAATGTCTTAGATACCTACATCCAGTTTTAACAAACAAACTCTAAGGGGATCGTATATACNCAAAGATTTGGCACTATGAATTCAAAAGCGAAAACAACTAGTTACTTACGTAGGCATTTTATAAAAAAAATATTTATTTACAAATATATACTCCAATATGGAGAAGCGCAAATAAACTATATGTAAGTAAAATATGCATGTTTTGCTATAAAATATTTGAGAAAAAAACATAGTGCCAAAGCGTATTGCACTCGACTTTATTGTAGAGCTAGTTCAAAATTTCATGGGCTTTCAGATGAGCGCGGCGAACTTTATTACGTATGTTGTTCATCAAGAAAAAATTGTAGGTAATAGCCGTTAACTATCTACGATATACAACCAAAAATTTTTAGTTAAAGTGTTAACAGTGACGACTAATTCTTTTAAGGAATGAAAATATATAGGAGTTTGTCACTGCGCAATCTATGGCCAAGATCCATGAAATTCTAAACCGCCTCTAGCAATACAATATTTAAGCACATTTTCTATAATAAATTGCAGGCACGGCCGATCATAATAACATTAAACTTACTCTTAAATCACAGAGGCACTTAAGAATACATAATATTTATGTATGTACATATTTATAAAATAAAGTCACAGCTGAAAATCGACGGTAATAGCTAACTTTTTAGCACGCAATGCACTTTGCCCTCATCCGAAAGCATGTGGATGATGGAGGCCCAGTCTTCCAGTCTTGGGGCACACTGTAATGTTAGGTCACCAAGTTTTCTTCTGGCCATGAAAACAAATTCACCAACTCCATGTTTGACCCCGCAGTGTTGGGCCACGTGAACTACGACCTCCTTTGACCCGTCACTAACTGTGTTCGTTTCGATGTCACTATCACTCGATGTATGTCTTATCAGTTTTGTAACTTTCACGGATAATTGAGACACTTCCAGTTCTTCACTGTTTTCCACCCCTCTGATAATGCCTCTTGTTACTGAAACAGGAAAAGGAAAAATTTAGAGGTGTTTTGATCAAATAAAACAAATTAAGAAATAGCACAGTTCCAAAACGTAAAAAACAAAATATTATTTTTGAAAAAAACATTTTGAGTTGTAGTTCTTTATTAATGAGTTAATGATTAATCTTTTTATTTAATCAATAGTAATTGTTCTAAACAAATATACTAGGAAGAAATAAACGCAAAATGAAGTTATGAATTAAATAACCTTCTTGTGAAAAAATTTCGGCAATCTTCCCTTATGGTTTTTCTCTATTTGAAGATTTTACCCGATATAACAGAGAACGTATCATTTGACAATCTTCCACTTTTTGAAGGTGTTACTCGAAGTAGCAAACAAGTGACGGTTGGAAATCTTCCCCTTGCCAGAATCCGCATATAATGATATCGAAGGGTAATGACAAACCCGTCATACGAAGCGGTCATCATACAAAGCATAGCCTTACAAAATAAACAACTTTCTATTTTGGTTAGTTATTTAGTTTAATAGAGTGATAAACTACAAATTGTATATATTTATTAACATAAAAAGCAAAAGAACGATGAATTGTAATATCAATATACATAAGAAGGGTCAGAAAAATGAGCGAAAATGTTATTATTAATCGTTTGAGTTACTATAGCCGAATATGATTTCTTGAGAATCAGTCATAATAAACGATATGTCATTTTAAACGCAGTCATTATATCCAAACTTTTCTCAACAGAGAATGTAATATGAAAACCAAACTTAACACTGCAATTACTTCATATTAAACGGTTGGTCAATATAGGCGGAGTCATAATAAACGAATTCCACTGTATATAAATTGAATCAGTTACATTATCAGTACTCAATTAGCAACCGAAATAGAATACAAATACTTTTTAAATACATACCAGAATTAATATGAAATACATTTCTGCTGTTTTATTTTTATTTTTATAGTGAATTAAAAAGTTCCTAATATTCCAAAATCAGATAGTATAGACACCTATTGAGGAATGATTTATATTAAAAAAAAACCAAATCATTACAAACTTAATGACACGAAACCGTTTGACTCACCTCAGACTTGTCCGGCTTTTTAATTCGTTCTTTAGAATTTTAAAATTTCCGACCGTCAAGAGGTTTTTGCATGCGTATTCCGAACATGCATTAACCGCGAGTGACGAAAACAAAGAGACAAAGGAAACTTCATCGGTTACTTCTTTTTACCCTTATTTCGTATCAAATTCCATATATAACATTTAACTTAGCCTTCGACTAACTCATCCATTATGGATGGGACGTATTTGGGCCGCTCCAGTTTCCCAACCATAATAGGTACGCGGTTACACTATTGCAGTTTTTTATTTATTCTTCGGCTCGTTTGTACAACGATGAAAAAAAACCAACACAGGGATTTCTTTACAGTTAACGTACTGACTCCGGACGAAAAAGTTGTCTTTTAGTTTGACGTTAAATTAAAATCGATAATCGTTAAGACGATTTTAAATTTAATGATCCTTAAAATAGAATGTGGTTGTTGAATGGTAAAAATAGCAATAGTAGTGTTCGTATTAATGAATAAAAGACCATTAGGGATCAAAGTGGGTGGTCTGTGTCGCGTACCTTTTCGCAGCCCTTAAAATAAGAATCGAAACACATACAGATTTAGTCTTCAAAGAATGTTACAAGTAGCAATCGTAGAAATTGAAATGTTTCAGTAAGATTTGCTTCTTTGTCATCATCACAAGGTTTTCAATTCGAAAATTGGTTAGACAAGCACCTTATCTCTACATCTCAAGCCAATCTTCGCAATTTTCGATGACTAGAGAAACCATTCTTGCTATTTACGAACAGTAATAATTTAAGACTACCTCTAGCCCTCTTAACCGTTTCATCTTCATTAAAGTAGAATGTAATTAAATAGTAAAATAGCAATAAAATAGGTTTTTTATTAATGAATACAGGGGCAAGTCCGCAACTTTTTCTGTTTTCATACCCGTTCTAATACAGAGGTGGCTAACCTACGGCCCGCACCCTGCATGCTGCCAGTCTTGAACATTTTTCTTGCTCGCGAAATTTATCACAGTTTTATAAAGATTATTTATTTTAAATTGGTCACTAATTTTTGGTATTTACGAAGTCAGATAATTCGAAACGGAAAGAGTAGTTCATATAGATATAAAACAGAGGATAGATGACAACCGTTAATAAAAAAAATCCCTTCCCTGCTTGCGAACGGTTAATTTATAAAAGTGTATATCTGGAACGCGGCATTCAACCTACAGGGTGAGAAACGTGGATGATGGGCGTGGAGGAAAAGAAAAGATTAGTAGTCGGAAGTCATTAAACTATAGGCGAGATAGGTTGGTAGGACAGCTTCTCATGAATGGCTAATTAGAGACGGAAATAGGAGTTAAGAGGAATAGAGGTAGTCGGAGGTAGAAATAGGAATTAAGAAGGGAAGATCTACATTAGATTTTTGTTCACAAAAATAGTTAAGGATTAGTGGAAATGCGTGTCCGATCAGTCTTACGACCATCCTATAATCATGATGACGATGATTGTAAAAGTAGTGACAACTAAATATTAGAAAAGTTACATTATTTG